ACAAAAAAAAATTTGGCAAGTTTAGTAAAGGCATACAACTACTGATAGATGCTGAAAAAAGTGAAAATTCATATTCCTGCAGCCGTAGAAAATTGTAGTGCATATTGTATCTGAGCTAGGAATTCCAAATAGGATTTCACATTCTGTATTGTCTGAAGACATTTGAAACTTATCCTGTATATTGTGCCATGTGTTTACCTAACCTGAGAATTTTAAAAGTTTGAGTAAAACTATCTACTGTACTGACAAGATTAGTGTTACTTTGCTTCTTAACTTCCATACTTAGTTGAAGGGCAGTAAAGAGAGAAAAGGAGAAGGACTCTGTTTCCTTACATTTCTGTGAATGGGGAAGAGCATTTTAAATGGCAAACTGGGACTTGCTTAATGAAAAGAATTATTTAGGACGTGATATTGAAGAAAGAGTTATGCCTACAGTGCAAAGTATGGAAGTGAAATTAATTTATGCAAAGCATCAGAAAACAAAACACTGGAAATAAGAGAATACTAACTGGTGGTTGGAAAAAAAAAAACCAGGACTGGGAAAAGAATTATTAGGACAAGTTGCTCCAGTAGCAAGTGGTAATGGTGTGACTAATGCTCTCACTCATGTTTCCAGTACAATGTGTTAGCATGAGCTAACAGAATACAGTTTGAACTGATGTGAGTGAAAGAGCAGCTTGACTGTCTGTATGTCGAGAATCCCAATACAGGACACCTGAAAGAGCGCTTAGTCTTGGACAGTAAAATTTATAAAAACCAGCAAATAAAAGGAACTTGATGAGCATTCAGATATAATGATACATAACCTGTAATTAGGACTTCAAATTACATATATTTATCTTGTCTAATAACCTCTGCAATAATAGAATTATGATACATTTTTAGTTTCCTTTCCTGTACATTTTTGTTATTCATCAATCTGCATATTTTCAAGATGAAAAAAAGGAGAAATAGAAATACTGAATAGATAAAGAAATTCCAGGACAGTGAAAGCCAGTGAAAACATACACAAAAAAAGTGTTGCAATCTCTGTCATGCCTGACAGGTGCCCTTGTAATGTCTGAACTGGTTCATTTTTTGACGTAGCAATCAAATATGAAAGTTTGAAATAGCAACAATCACAGCTTGTGCAGTGGATGTCATTTAGTACAAACCAATAGATATAATGTGTTGCTTGCATTTTCATCTGTCTTAACATCAGAAAACTCAAAAGGCTTGTTAGTCTTTTCTTTTGTGTAGAAGTTGCTGATAGTTTCTGTCCTTCAGGTTATATTGTCAATACACATCTCTACATCAGTTTGCAAACATATGGAAAAATTAAACCAGATGAACCATTAAACAAAATACATGTATTGCATTTTTTTAATGTCTTGTTTGTATATTTGAGTTTTGTAGTGTGACTGAAAATCTGGCATCCTGGATGCAGTTGCTGCCTTGGAATATATCTGGTTCATAGGAGTATATGTACTGATCCATGCCTGCTAGTCATCAGTAATGGATGAGTAAGGAAAGAATATAAAAGATAGGGTAAATGTAGACTGGTTTGGGTTTTTTTAAACTCATGCTATTTTCTTTGCTTCTGGTAGAACATACTTTAGGTTTTCCTGAGAACAAGGTTGTGAAAAATAGGTAATTATACTTAATAGAATCTAATTGAGTTCTGTATCAGACTTCTCTTTAATCTTTTGAGCTCACTTGTGCTTTCAGCCTCTACAATGTTCTGTAGCAATATGTTTTACAACTTAGTTTTGTGTTTGTAGAGCAAGGAAAAAAATATTCTAAAATTAAGTTTTTGTTGGATGTATTTCCCAATTCCTGTGTTTGTGAGACAGGAGAAGATAACTATATCCTTTCCACATTTTGCGTATCTTATATCAGTCTCTTAGATCTTTGCATCTGTTTGTCACTTTTCTCTCATACTCTCACTGAAGGCTGGAGTTTTAGCCAATTGGATACAAAAACTATTGATTATTCATACTGACTTTCATGCTAATTTTATTTCTCTGAGATAACTTTTTCCACTGCTGCAAGTTTTCAGAGTTGTGAGGGTGTGGCAGAATAATGCCATGACATGGTGATGTTTCCGTTTCCTATTTTATTCTTAATCATTTTTGAATTCTAACTTCTTTAACTGTTGATGTTGAGTTAGGGAAATGAATATTTGTGGGATATTTGAAATGATTTTGTAACAGTGCAAGAAAAGGCTGTTCTTTGACACTGTGGCTATGGTACATAATCATCAGTCATCTTTCAAGACAACATTATTGAGGAAAAGTCTCTGAATTTAATTTAGAAACTGTTAACTGGTTAAAGTAAATATCAAGATTCAATTTCCTCCTATTCTACCTCTCTATAATGTATATTGAAAGAATAATAAGAGGTTTACCCAATTTACTTCATCTCTTTGAAAGGTTTGTGTTGCTAAGGGTAGCATTTATATGTGTTTGCAGGTTGATTACAGTGGCATAAATAACTTCATTTTGTGTGGAGGAGGCTGGGAAAGCTGATATATAAGTTAGGGAGGTACTGCACTGAGCATCAGATCACAGTTTGCCCTGTGCATCTCCAGAGTGACTCACTGCTTTAGCTCTGATTCTGAAGAATGGGGATTTTGGTACTTTTCTCCTGTGTTGTACGTTCAGGATTTGACTAAAGGAAAACATAGATTTTATTTCTTTTAGTAATTGCAACTGTGTAGTTTTATCTCATGTTAATAAAACTCTTTTTAGTAACTAAGTGCAAGGGGAATGTATCTGCAGCACTCGAGTTCTGCAAAAGGATGTGTGTTACCTTAGGGCAGTGTGAGGTTTTCTCTATAAGGGGATTTTTTGTGTTAATGCAGTTTCTGGTGTACTGAGGTCCTCGTCTTGGATTGGATCTGTTGGCCACAGTACAAGTAGTAAGTGTGGTGTGCATAATGCTTTCTTTGCTCCAAGATAAGCACCTCTTAATTTTTTTTTGTGGTGAATTGAAATGTCCAGAGGGATTGAAACAAAGACAGTAGTTCTGCTTAAAGGCAGGGAGATAATCTATAGGGATGTTGTTTGTAGAGTATTGCTTAAAGGTAATCTGTTCTCTAGTCAGAGAGTCACAGACCCTCTGTCAAAGAGGATGATCCTGGGTCTTCAGGGGAGAGCAGCAACTACACAGATAGTATGGGGGAGTTGGGATCTACACCTACTCACACTCTTATCCAGGGAAAATCAGAGGCACAGGCTGTGCTCAGGAGGTGGCTAGGCAGATCCTGAAAAGGTAAGTGTTAGAAGCAGAAAGGCTTTGGGTGTAACATTCCCTCTGCCAAACTGCAAAGCTGTTTGGGTTTTCTAGTTACCTTTTCTGCATTACAGATATGTCTATGCAGTGATGCATACCACAGAGAAAAATATAAATTAAGTTTGTGTCCAGTAGACCTCAAAATTTAAAATGTATAAAAACAAAGCTCGCAGCAGGAATTCTGGTTTCATTGTTTCATTTAAAATTAAAAGCAAGCCAGAGGAGTGAACTGTATACTAACAACAACATAGTAAAACATGAAGAGAATTTATGTCTGGTTGGAAAAATAAATTTTATTTCATTGTTTAAGCTGAAAAGAAAATCTGGCTTCATGTCATTTACTCAGTTCCTCTATGTAGACTGCCAATATTTTAGAAGACATATTTCTCAAGTCTTGAAAAATAACTTTAAAATTGGCTGAATGTTGTCACTGCCCTGTCAGAAGAATGATATTTAGCTCAGCTGTATAAATGATAATAGTTACATATTTGTACATTTCTAGGATTACAGAAATTAAATTGGAATGTATGAAATCATTCCACCATCAGTGGCTGTAGAGTCCAGGACAGTTCTATTGCACGAACAAGAGGAATTTCTTGTCACATCACTTAATGATCAAATTCTTGTGCTAGGGAGCCTCCAACACTCTTGTAGGACAATAGTAGGAAAGGGTTCTTTTCCTTGTCCAGGAAGCATAAAGGGAAAGCTATGCCCACCTATAAAATGAACTTGGCAAATCATAGAGATATTTATGAACACTGGCAGTAAAAGCACAGTCTCTTATGTCTCTGTTTATTTTTAGGCAGAAAGGTGTTAAGCTAAGCCTGTCTTTTTGCTGTGTTTTGGGTTTGCATTGTGGGTTTCTTGGGGTTTTTTCCCCTGCCTTTGTTATCATTTTAGCTTGAGGTTGCACTTCCTCACCAGGATTAGCAGATGCACATTGCTGGGTGCAGCCTTCCTTTTTTCAGATCTTTTACCTGACCATTTAGTTATAATCTGAGGGTGATGTTGGTAATGAAAATGTATCTGCCATGTGTTAATTTGGTGTCTTACGTAAATAAAGACTTTCGTGGAAAGTCTTAGCCTAGTGTAAAGAATATTCTTTCTCTCAAGGATGGTGCTGAAGCACTGAAAGAAGTACAGCTGTCTCAAAACACTTTATGGCGAGAAAACGTTCAGTGTATTGCAGGCTATTTATGGATCAAGCTTGGCTGCATTCCATAGGAGAGATTTTTCCTGTAATTCTGTACTGGCATGTATGAAAATATTGTCATCCTTTTTGTAAGAAGTCATGAAGGAAAAACAGATTTTTGAGAAATTGTCCTGGTGGAAAGCATTCACTTATTTGTCAACACAGATATGTCTGTTAATTTCTGTATGTTTACTGTGACTGCTTGTTGACTGCTGGTCAATTCTGTGGCAAAGATCTTCTGCTTCTTTACATTCTTGTGAGTGTAAGAACTTTCAAGAAGTGAATCTGAGAGCAAATGTGATTTCAACAAAGAAAGTTACCTACTGTTCAAATTTAAAAGAGCCTCTGCTGTTGTGGGAAAAGCTGTTACAAAGAAGGCAGTTAATACTTTAATAGTGATCTTATCTAGGAAATTACAAAGAAAATATGTAAAATTCTAATACAATTTCAGAAACTGTGAAATTGGGATAGTATCTTACTGCAAAATTGTCTAAAGACTTTTGTTTTAAATTAGCAACTACTTCTTTTTTTTCAGGAAATTTGGAGAGCGACCTCAACCGAAACGGCTCACAAGGTAAGCATTAAAGAAACTCAGTATTTTACAATTTTCTGAAGTTACCCTTTTCATTCTCAAAAAAATTAAGTTAAAAATTTGTGTGTTGCTAACCCTAGAATTTTAAATGTCAGAGCTTTTCAATTATATATGCAATCAGCAGCCAGAATTACAATTTTTAACAAGACTGGGTTATTTTTAATATGAAACTCAAAATGCATTTTTAGAAATGGTGTTGACTTAATATATCAGTTATTGTAGGTTATATTGTAGGATGTGGATCTGCTTATTTTTAAATCCTCAGGAATGAGCTGGTTTGTTTCTTGAGCAAAAGTGATGTCATGCAACCCTTTTTTCTGCCACAATTGAATACGGTGTTGTCAATGAGTGATCTGAACCAATTTTTAGTGAACCCCAAATAACCAGAGAGAGTATCAAATAGAACTGTCAAGTCAATCTGTTCTGGAAAGTGTTTAGGGTGACTGGAGTACAGTGCTTGATTTGCTCCTGGCCTGCCTGGGATGTATTTACATCAGAAACTGTTAAGAAGTCACCTTCTTTTTTTGAACTGCTTTAACACAGTCTATGCAAATATTTATTATTCTGTGCCACAAACTGTGCTGATTATAATTAGCTCCTGGCTTTAAAATCCACTATTTGCTTGAAAGCAAAAAAGGATGTGCCATTTGTTTTTATAGTTTTGTGTGATGATAGAGGAAGCCTCTTGTCACCCTGACAGACTGTTTTGAATGAAATGATACCTTATCATGGTAAGCACATGAAGTGGGGGGAACATTTACATTTTGTTTTGTGAATATCTGTCTCACTGCATTTCTGGCTAAGTTTTAGTTTAGCTTGTCATCATTAAATTTCATTTCAATGCAAAATTGACCTGTACTGACTTACAAGTATTTGAACAAACCGGGTGGATTATTGTTGGCCTGGCAGTCTTCAGGGATATTTGAAGATACTGTGTTATAACTAATGAGCTGCTTTCCATCTTGAGTAGTACCATCTATACTATAACCCTGAAGTTATTAATGGAATTTATCTTCTCTCATTAAAAAAAAGAACAAAAATGGAATGTATCTTCTGTTTCAAAAAGAGCAACAAAAAAAGAAATGAGAGCTTTTAAATGAGTTTACTATAGTTACTCTAAATTTCATGTGCAGGATTTTAACTACTGGGTATACTCGTTGCTCTTTCCTGAATACAGGGTGGGTATTTGAGAAGTGCCAGCCATCCTTCAAAGCAGCTGTTTGAAAACCTTTCCTGTGATGATGGAGGTTGGAAACAAACAACCTAACTTTGCTCTGAAGAGTAAACTGCTGAAACAGAACAACTGTCACCCAGATTTTTTAAACTGATTTGTTTATGTAATGTTGAAAATGTGTCTGTAAACCCTTAAAAGCATTTAGTTCAATTATTGGAAAATTGCTGTGGGTTTTTTGTTTAAAGCCTGACTGGTTTGGCTAATAATCTCCAGCAAAACAACACTACTCTGTTCATACTATGCTAGTTGGTTTTAGATGTAAACTATAATAATACTACCTTTATGAAGAATTTTAGCATTGAATAATGAAAAATGTCACGTAAGATACCTGTGGGAGGGGTTGGAGGGGGAACATCAGTTATTTTCCCAGGAGCTTGGATAGCTTGGATTGTACAAATCCACTGTAGAAACAGACCAATAGAAAACACAAGTTTTCTTCCTCATACAGTGCTAAATAAAGATTAGGTATCACCAAGCAGTTTTCTGTGCAAGTTGCTGGATTTAATAGTAGTCAATTTTAATAGTAGTCAAGTCAAAAGTTTTTAATACAACAGATGTTCTTAATTTAGTATGATAGTACTCTTAATAGAATATTTCAAATTGTCAGATTAAAAGTTTTTAAACAACTTAAAAGCAGCTAATATATATCATAATGAAATGTATAATAATAATTTCACAGTGAATTATGTTTTGGGGTTGAAAATATACTCTTAAAAATGGCTGTAAATTAGTACGTCTGTGGCTTTGAAACAGTTCTTCCAGCTGTACTTTCATGGATAAGCATCAGTTTTACCAATGGCAAATGTAAATAGACCAGTTAGTCCAAATTTAATACAGCAATTCAAGTCTATTCTCTGTTCTTATATCCTGGTATTTACACAGAAAATCGGCTCACTAATCACTAGACATTAATCATGTCTTATGCAGGCATGACAAACACAAGAATTTGCAAAACATCATTACCAAAGCTGAGTTGTTGTTGTCCAACCCAGCCCTGGCTCAATCTGCTTGCTTTTCTCTATGAAACTGTGTGGGGATTTCTTTTGGAAAAGGTCTGGTCAATAAAATACTGCATTCTGTCTTCCATGATTTTTTTCACTAGAAATGTTTGGTTTTCCAGATCTGTGCTAAGGGAATTCAGTAGTTGGTGCAGTTCGCAGAAAAAAGACAAAAACCCAAACAGCCAAATAAAAAAGCCTTCTTATGTAGGGTTTTATATTTTCATATAAATTCCTGATAAATTCATAATTTATTTCGCTGGTAGATGACTTTGAAGATGAGTGCATTGGTGGGCATTCAACCCACAAAAGCTCCTTCAGGAACTGTTGTTCCTGCCAGCACTCCGGCACAGCTGATCCCTAGGGTGTTGAATTTGGCATGCTGCTTAATGAACAGTTAGATTATTATACAGAAGAGTGACTGGCTGTTATTGTTCTCTCGCTTCTCTCAAGGAATTGTTGTTGGTGTGTTGGAGGTAATTACAGCATTTATATAACATCTGTAATTACAGTGATGATGAACAATAAAACATTTTTTTAAATTTTTTTTTTACCTGATTGTGTGCAGAAAGTAGATCTTTTCTCTAGAAAATTAGGTGAAACAATATGCTGAAGAATTTAATTTTTTCTTAGTATCTTCAAAACCAAAAGAAAACTTGTATAGAAATACTTCACTGAGTTGGTTAAAAGCTTAGATAATTTGTTCTTATCACGAGATACTAAATAGGTCATGAGGAAAATATTTAACTAATAAAATGTGTTCTAGTGTGTGGCATGGTGCTTAAAGAAATAGGACTTTAAACATGGTGCAATGATTGGCATTGGTATAATTTTACATCACGAGAGGGTTTTTTTCTGGAAAATGTAGTAATGTAAAGGATCACAGACCTTATATTGCTAGTTTGTGCAGTATACTTACTTCTTTTTTCTGTGTAAATGTCTCAAACAGTGAGCAAACACATCTTGACCCTGTTAATGATGGCCTTTTTGGAATTTCAGGTGCTGGGTTTTTTTCCCTAAAGTTGTCTTTGTTTTGTTGTAAACAAAACCAAAAGAACTTTCAAAGCTTATATTGTATTTTGATTTTTAGGGAAGCAATGCGAAATTACCTGAAGGAGCGAGGTGACCAAACAGTGCTAATACTCCACGCGAAAGTTGCGCAGAAATCATATGGAAATGAAAAAAGGTAACTTCTTATGCTGTACTGAAGTCTGTCTGCAGCTGGGAGCTGAGGAAACTACACTGTGGAGTTGGGTGCACAGCCCTTTGCAGAATTCCTCAGATTGCACTGTAGTCTAAAGAAATACTAAATGCTTCCTTCTGAATTATTTAATTATGTAACGAGTATTGCAAACATATAGCATTCAATGGAGTGATGCCAGTTTCTACCAAGAGGTTCTCTCTCTATGGGCAAGGCTTTTCTTCCATTGCTTAAAATTGTTCTCTTTTTAAACCTTCCATTTTAATGTTGAAGTAAATTAGGTAATCAACAGTGAATACTTGTAGAGGAGTTTTTTTCTGAATAATTTCACATTTATATGAAAGGGAAGTTGCTAGCCTCAGTAAGAAAAGTTTCTGAATCACATCTTTAATAGGTTTAAAAAGAATGATAGGTCAGTCATGACTGTATTTATGATAAACATTTCCTTGCAAAAATCAATGCAGTACATGTTATAGGTACTATTCTAAGGGACAGAATCTGCAGGAATACATGAGAATGAATGCTTTTTAGGCAAAGATGCTTTTCCTACAGTCTTGCTACAGTTTTCTCTTGCAGTCTTCACTGTGATATTTTTGTTTGCATGAGTGGTAGAAACAAATAGGATTCTCCTTCATATGTGGGTTTCTAGACCTAACAGTGCATTTGTTCATGCAGGTTATCTCTGATTCATCTGTTTAAGAATGGAAGCATGTCAAATCAGTGTAGAAAACTTAAAAGCTTTATAAAAGAAGATCAGTATTGAAAATAGTTGGTTATCAAATAGTAGGGCACTGAAATGATTGCTGTTGTGCTATGGGTATGAAAAGAAGGTATGGAATCAGTCACCAAATCAATCAGGTTGGAAGGGACCATGGGAGGACATCTGCTCCAACCTAGAGCATATGGCACGGGATTGCATCCAGATGGTTCTTGAATGTCTGCAGTGAGGGAGACTCCACAACCTCTCTGGTCAGCCTGTTCCATGTGTGGTCATCTGCACTGTAAAAAAGTTCATGCTTGTGTTCACGTGGAACTTCAGTGCATCAGTTTCTGCCTGTTCCCTATTGTCCTATACATACTAAGGTTTCATTTCTTCAGTTTAAATATTTTAGTTTTTCTGTAACATATCACGTAGACTGTCTCTAATACTGTTCTGCTAGTTCCCAGACTCAGCATCAGTAATGGTGTCCTGTTGTTATCAGCATAAAGGAAAGTGCCAGTTAGTAAATCCTTGGATCCATGTGTGCCCTAAGGTACTTAGTAAATCTGAATGATGAATTACTATATTCCTTTTTCTTTTGTTTTTCTCTTGAGTTTTTAAATTGTTTCTGCTTTTTTATGGAAAAATGTGGCCTTTGTTTCTTCATATTTCTGAAGTAAGCAAAATTAGTGAAGTTTTAATGCTGCTTTATGCAACTCAACAGTCAAATTTTCATCATCTGTGCATTCATCATTTCTGAAGTGAGTTGGTTTGCATACATCTTAGAAATAGACTTACTTTATACCAATTTTTGTAGACAAATTCCCTCTTTTCCATGGGATTTCATTGTGGCGTAGATATCATCTGGTTAATTTTTGGACCTCAAAGAATAACTTACTTTGCATTACTTTTGTAATGAGGAATTCAAGTTACAAAAGGAATTATTACTTAAATTTGACATCTCTTTCAAATAAATACAGAACTTAAATGTAGGCAAACTTCCACCTCTTGTTCCTGTCTTTATTTAAGTCTTACTTGTTGGGAAGTCATGGAAAGTGCTTGCCATTAGCAAACTATTTGCACATGGTAATTAAAAGGTTAGGACAATAACTACCTTTCATTGTTTTGATGAGGGTTACTAGATGGTGAAATACTCTTGTTAAAAGCCTACTGTAGATGGTGCAGATCTCACGTAGCTTGGCCTGTTTTCAATAGGCATCATAATAACACTATTCCAGTGCATGGATGCAGATTTTCTAGGTTAATTTGAGTGATTTTGGTACTTCTGAGTAACAGGAAAGAAAGGAGTTGACTTTTTTGAGTTGACCCTTCATACGAGCCTTGCACTTCACAAAGTTCATGGTTTTAGCTTAACAAGGAAGCCAGGAGGTAAGAATCGCAGGTTGGGATTTAGTTCAATTCGCGACTTTGTGCCGGATGTTTACTGTTGCATGACTGTCACCTTTCAAAGGCGTTCAGCTGATAGAGACTCAGGTGCTGTTTAGTCCTGATGAGTGTGTGGGTATTTGTGGGCTTGCACTTCTTGTATTGTTTTCCATATTTGCCATTGACTGAGACTTCTCTCTTCAAAGTCTGAGCAGTGTGAACATTTAGCAGTTTAAAGGACTGTAGTGTTTTGAATTTTGAGGCATAGTTCATCTAAAGACTTCAAGCCAGATAGGGATTTTGATTTTGCTGTTTGGAGTTAAACATGCTCACTGCTTATTAGCTTGAGAATGCTGTAGCTGCATCTTGTTTTACAGCTATTAGTGCAGGAGCTCCTGTAATTTCTGATCAAGTGCTTCCTTTCTCTGAACTGAGTGTGCCTGTCCAATGGATAAAATTCCTTATTGAGCTTAACCTTTTCCAGGGCTTCCCCCATGGCACCACTGCTTTGTCTTCCTTTCTCTGAACTGAGTGTGCCTGTCCAATGGATAAAATTCCTTATTGAGAGCTTAACCTTTTCCAGGGCTTACCCCATGGCACCACTGCTTTGTCCTTAGCACTGTAGTACCTAATGATTTTTCGTTTGTTTGTTGTAAAATTGAGTTCTTGTGGATGTTGTTAGTTCTTTAATCTCCTATGAAGAAAGATTGCTGAGCAGTTTAATTCTCAGAACAATGTGGGTAATTGACAAACACTTGGAATTTACCAACACATACAGAGGAGAAACTTCCCTTCTAAAGTCACTCTGGATATAAAATAACTAGCTAGTAAGAAGCATCTGAATTCTCCTGAAGGCAAAGACTTGTATAAGATGAACACAGAGATGATTTGGATGATTTGAAAAAGCAGACCTTTGTGACAGAAGCCTGTGGCTTGAGGAGAGCTCCAAGTGCATCAGAACTAGGTAGAAATGACACGAACGGACCTTATTTCCCTTTAAACCCTTGCTTCCTACCAAGTTCAGTTGGAGTAGCTTCTCTGCTTAACTACCACATTTTCTGTGTATTGCTTGGCTTGAATTGACTGAAAGAATATTGTTCTCTCCTTTGATGTTTATCTGATTCAATACAGTGTTTTTGAAGTTCAAACCAGGTTCACGTTTTCTGTATTGGATAGAATATTCAGCTAATTTCTTGTGTACATGAATTTGTGGAATGGTAAATATGAAGTTAAAAAGACCCAAGACTGTCTGTGCCTGAAAGCTGAGAAAGAGGTAGATACATAAGAAAGAAAACCCATTAAAATTGTGAGTGTCCAGGCTCTTTCTTCATGTTTGTAGTTTTAACCCAACTTAAAATTTTATTTGCTTTAAAAGTGTATTTGTTCAGTATGTTTTCAAAGATGTTTCTCTGCATTCTAATTTTAAGAGTGCTTTTTATTGTGGTCTCTTTTCTCTTCATCAATGGGTTACACCTTGTTTCTTACAGGTCTTCATTGCCATCTAGTGGCTCTAGTCGTTTAAAGGACTTGGTTTCGAATAAAGCTGAAATGAGAAAGGGTGTGAAAAAAAGTAGGGATTTTCTTTTCTTGTGTTCTGACCAGTAAGATAAATACAAAAGAGTACATAAGGAAAGAAGGTAAATGTGTAATATTCTTTATGGTGTAATATTGCTTGGAATAGAAGGGATTTGTTGGATTTTTGTTTTGGTTTTGTTTGGTGGAGTTTTTTTTAACCAAAGCATTGCTCTGTTAATAAAGATTGACTGATTTTTAATGTGTTTATAACTTCTTCATCAGGAATAGTTTATATATGAGGACCATACTGCTTTTGAAAGAGGTTCATAAATCTTTCAGCTGTGTACCTATAGGTATAACTCCTGCTTTGCTATGTTGTAAATAGGACAAATGCAAGTGAAAAATTTTGACTGCAGATTTATAGTCAGGCAAGAACGTTTGAGGAGTTTTTTGCCTGCAGACAATAAATTTTTATTCATTTTCATAGCCACTTAGACATTTTAAATAGCAGTAAGACTTAATATTTGGTGATTTGTTTCTCTGGCAGAGAATATACGTTATTTGTATCCATCAACCAGAAATACTACAAACACTTGTATTTATTTATATGTATTCTTAATATGTGTATTTAATTTTATGGTATTATTAACAGGATTTTGGCTTAATCTATTAAGAATTCTGTAACTTAGAAGAACAATTTATATCTGTTAAATACTTGTGATTGTGCGGAAAAAAAACAATGCTGAATAGGTGAGATAAATGGGAGTTTTACACTAGGTTTTCATACTAAAGCTAGCATTAATGGTGTTTAATAGAAATAAGAATCATTTAGGATGAAAAAGACCTTTCAGATCATCAAGTCCAACCAGTTACCTGGCACTGACCTCTTTTGCCCAGGACTCCCACAGACACTTCAGAAACAGAATAATTTTGTCCTTTGATCATTTTGCATGACTTGGAGCCCACAGTTCAGTATACTCCCCTGCCCTGACAGCTCCTGCCCACCAGCACAACTGGCTGCTGCCCAGCGTGGAGCCTGCTCCCCCTGCCTGGAATTCAGATGTCCCAAGCCAAATTTAAAAAAAGAAGAAAAATTTTTAAAAAGCCAGAAACCCCTCACCTGTAAGGTAGGAGTCATTGTTGGGTTGCAGAAGTGCCAAGTTATAACACTACTCTCCAAAATGAAGTATATAAAATAACTAGAAAATTTTTCATGTTCCTTACATGCCTCCTTAGTTACCTCACAACTGGATGTACTCATTCCTCTTTATCTTTGATCATAGTGAAATTATGATAAAAACACAGCAGCTTATTTGCTAACTAAAACAAACCTTTTCAGGATTTGGGCTTTAACAATTTGCAGAAACTTTAAGACTGATGCATTGTATTATAATGCTGAATTTAATTTTGAACATATTGCTGCTATAAGTAGCATCTAGACTGATGAGAGTCAGTACTGCTGAAAACTAAGCCTTCTTTTTTACACATACTAATGAAGACATAAAATTATCTATTCCATTTAAAAATGGGGAGAGATTTATGTGTGGATGGAATAAACTCCCTTCTTGCTTAAGACAAAACTCAACATTTAGGAATTGTAATCAGCAGTTGTCCATTAAATTCGTTTGTGGAACTGTTCTGTGTGTATTAATTGCAATATCATGTTAGGCACCTGCAAAAAACTGTAATAAATTTTGAGGCCTTTTTTCCTTTATTTCAGAATCTCTTTGTAAGGTTTTTTTATAGAGATGCAAACTGTTACCTGAAATATATTGAACTGGAAAGATTCTCAGTGACAGTACATCTACCGCTGATTTTCCTTGGTTTTTTTTTTTTTAATTTGTATTTTAGAAAACCTTCTAGGCAAATGAAGGGCATGCCTGTATAATTCAAGTGCAAAGTGTGAATGTGAAAGCATTGGGTACTCATCAGTTTGTTTATCTGGAAAACTGTGTGTAATTCCATAATGTTTTCTTCGTTTTCAGGTTCTTTTGTCCTCCTCCATGTGTGTATCTCATGGGCAGTGGATGGAAGAAAAAAAAAGAGCAAATGGAGCGGGATGGTTGCACTGAGCAGGAGTCACAACCTTGCGCCTTTATCGGGATAGGAAACAGTGACCAAGAAATGCAGCAGCTGAACTTGGAAGGAAAGGTAGAAAAACTGTAATAAACCACTAAGATAACTAACTGCAAAGGATATTATAGCTACATGGTGCATATTTTAAGGAATGCCCTTTCTTATTTTTGTATCATTTTCTTTCTAGGTATTGCATAATGGTTTGGAAAAAAATCCCTCAAAATGTTTAGGACAATTGAATAGTTGGTTTTGGCTCCTAGGGTCATAGCAAGGTACTAACATTTAATTTGTAGGTTGTTGATGCAGACTCAGTAAGCTGTTAGGTTATTTGGTAGGCATCAGTGGCTAACTAAAATATGGTTTCTGGCCTGAATTTTCTGTCCTCCTCCTTGGCTTGCATGAGTGGATAATCTTATCAAGGAAATATCAAAACATCTGCTGCTAGAAGTAGTCATTAAGTCCCTTTGCCTAAAAATACAGTTGAAGTAGCATCTTAAAAAAATAGTAGGTTATTTTCACAGTGGTGTAAATTGCTTACAAGATTTTTTTAAGGTATTTGTGATGACTTAAACAGTTGGAATGCAACTAGCAGCAAAAGCATTCATTTTATCTGGTTATTTTATTAAGCAGTATTTTATAGCTACCTGGTATTTCCAGCACAGTCTACCAGAAATGTTTCATATATTCAAAATAGGAAAAGAATAAAGAATTGAAGTTCTTTGAGATTTTTTAAAAAATTCTGTTGTCACCTAGCATAAACACTTAGCCAAAAGTAACTTCCTTGCGTTTCAAAACCCAATCATTTCCCATCCTTCCAAGAAAAGTTTAGTTCAATACGTTTTCTGCATGTTTCTTGAACTGGGTTGGCTTCAAAGAATAAACCACAGTATGTTTTCACCTACAGAATTATTGCACTGCCAAAACATTATACATATCAGACTCAGACAAGAGAAAGCACTTCATGTTATCGGTAAAAATGTTCTATGGCAATAGTGATGACATCGGTGTGTTCCTCAGTAAACGGATCAAAGTCATCTCCAAACCCTCTAAAAAGAAACAGTCACTGAAAAATGCAGACTGTAAGTATGTCTCTGTTTTTTCTTTATTTGCCAATTAATTTTGTTTCATACTACTTTTTTATTATGTATTCTAAGGTCTGACTGTAAGGAAAATACACTGAAATTTTCAACTCCCGTTTTTTTGCTGTATTTCAGAACTGTACACATCAGTATATTTTAAAATATTCCAATATAGACAGGTTGACTTTTATGCAGTCATGGTTAATTATTTAGTAAATATAAAAGGCCCACCCAAACCCCCATGTACTGAGGAATGAATTCATTAGACAAGTGTGTAAAGAATGTTCTACCTCAACTTTCTAAGCTTTTGGATCTCTTTAATTGTCATGGACTGGTGCTTGGAATGTTTTGATCAGTATTAAAGAGATTGCTATCAGATTGTGGTAAATGAGTAGCATCATGTTATCCAAACTGCACTTTGTCACATCACAGCCACCTTCTTACTGTCTCATGCCATTTTCATGTTGTTCTTATTTTTGTTTTGCATGGTTCCTTTTAAATAGTCATGTAAGAAATCTGTATGGTGATATTTCACCCAGAATTATTTGCTTACCATGTTTTTCAACTAACAGTATCTCTGGTGCTAATGTATAATTGGGAACATTTTTGCTTTTCCTCCACCTTTTTTTGCCTGCATACCACTGGAGCACCTCAAGAGATACCCTTTTTTTTGTTTTTCTCTCTTCACTAGTGCTTTAAAAGGCTCATCCATCTGTGTTGGGCTGGAACCCATTCACCTATGGAATGTGGATCTCGGGGCTGCTAGCTTGGCACATGACTAAAGGCAATCTGTTGCTGTGCAGTTCACACCCGTGGGCTCAGAGTATGCACTGTTGAATTTGTGTTCAGACAGATAGCTTTGATGGACAGTGAATATGAAGCAAGCATTCTTCAATAGTAAATATGAACCAAGTAGAACAACATGCCCGTTCTGATGGCAAAATTTTAGTTGCTGTTTTTTTTTTTTAGGGGAGCAAACTTTACATTTCTCTCTTTTGAATGATAAAAAAGTTCAGATCTGAGAACATTACAAGTTGCATGGTTATAATTTGACATAGTTACATCTGTCTTCCTTTCAATTGCTTGTGATTTTTAAGAATACTGTGTCTTTGTATTTCAAATAGTCTTCAAATGATTACAGAAAGTGGTCTTAAGTACTTCACAAGGGCAAGCTAAAGCTTCTGCTTAAATAATTAGTTGCTGGAGAATTATGAACAGAAACAGTTTTCAGCTGGCAAACACTGGCTGATTTGGCTAAGTGGTAGAATTCTGTTAGCTAGCATGCCATGGATTACAGTCACTATGTATGTTATTGCACTCAGAATTTTACATCTATTTTTGGTCTGTCACAAATAAAAATATTTTCTACATTAACCAATATTTAATAATTATGTCTTGATTTCAAGTATTCGTCAGTTTATTTTATGTTACTTGTGACTTTTTGATACTTTTCTATGTAATAATGAAGTAATTTTATAATCTCAAGTCTGTATGTGTTCCTTGCAGTATGTATTGCATCAGGGACAAAAGTGGCACTATTTAATAGACTTCGATCCCAAACAGTTAGCACCAGATATTTGCACGTAGAAGGTGGTAATTTCCATGCCAGTTCACAACAGTGGGGAGCATTTTACATTCACCTGTGTAAGTAAAAGCAAATCTGTGTATTTTCTTCACTTTTTCCTTTATCCTCACAAAAAAGCATCCTGCATTTTTTCCTCCATATTAATTGCCGATGTGCGCACTTGTTTTGTTACTGAGTGTATATTTGATGTAATAATGTGGTGTTAAATGTTTCTTGTGTCAAGAAAAATGGTGATTAAAACAAGTAATTCTGAAAATTCCTGTTTCATGCAGTGGATGATGATGAATCAGAAGGAGAAGAATTCACAGTGAGAGATGGCTACATTCACTATGGGCAGACTGTCAAACTTGTGTGTTCAGTTACTGGCATGGCACTCCCAAGACTGGTACAGTTTCATTTCTCCAATGCTGTAATTAATTTATAGATGGCAACTTAATGTAATTCCATAGTTGGGTTTGCAGTGTTTACAGTTTTTGGCCTTGTGTGTTGCCTTCAGGTAATACATGTTTTTTATGGAAAATGGCATTTATTTTAATTAAAGCATATTTTTGTATCTGCAGATTATTTCTGTAAACAAAGAACAACTTGTAAAATAAGATAGGAAATTTTTCAAAATGTAAGGCTGCCAAAATAGGTTAATCTGTCTATTTTAAAAACAGTACTGTAGATTTGTCTGTTCCAAAATGCTTCAAATATTGATATTGAATAGATGACTAAAATATTTTCAGCCAGTAGGACTTGTCCATGTGTTGACTTCCAGCACAGCCTCAAAAATGCTTGACTGATTTGAATATAAAAGCACTTCTTTGTACTCCTGAAGATATATTATACCAGTAGCAGCTTGCAAAAAACATTTTTTAATATTTATTAATACTATCTGTTTTAAATCTGAAACGTGGGAATTGCCTTTGGAATAACCAGTTAAGATTTGTGAATCAAGTAAAATATTACTTCTGGATACATAGTACTGGGTTTTGTAAATAAAGTTAAGTATAATTGTAGATTTTTTTTCCCTGTTTTATGCACTTAATCCCAGCTTAAGTGGAATTTTATGTGATGAATGATCAATAGTGCTTCATATGAGGATCTTCTGTGAAATTGTGGTTTGTGAGCTCATTACGAGTTTCGTACAAGGCTCTGCTAATTCCAGTTTAGGTAGAAGCAGTCTTTAGAATGCACCAATAGAAAGCCAGACCTTCTGCAGTCAGGCTTTTGTGCCCCTTTCCAGACTAATTTTGCTGGGACTATAATGTTAATTTCTCTCCCAATACCAAACATAGCTAAAAGAAAAAGATAATAGCCTGCTCAGTGTAAATGGTACAAAATGAAAATTTTGTTGACAGTAAAAGCAGTTACACTGGTTACACTACAGATATGGTTCAAGCACAGGAAGTTCAGTTAGGAGGATGTCACTTTTTTATGGGCTTCATGTTAATACTTTTTTATTGATGAAAATGAGATGCCATCATTTATTATTCCAGAAATATTATTTGTAAGTAGAAACAGATGAAAACATTAGGCTAAAAGTTCCTGTTTTGTTTGCCATGGGGAACATTTGTCATACTGCTTACAGTACTGATGGAAGATGATGCAATTAAAAGATAGCTTGCAGGTATTTTATAAGCAAATGCAAAGAATTTAGAAGAAAAAAATTCACCTTTAAATTTGTATTGCTAATAATACTCTCTATTATAATTAGATATTGCAGAGGACAGTTGGGTTTCTGATTGTCAGCTTAGAAATATTCAGGCACTTTGGCTGTTGGGTCTGGTAGTGTTGCATAAAACATTAAACAACTTTCTAGGAGTTGAGTTAAAATTACAAGCTAAAGATTTTCACTCTCTAAGGGAATAGCTTTTGATTTTAGAAGTAAATTGGCAAAAGAGATCTGAATTAAGTCAGCACATATTTTTGCACTGAACTGACAAATGTAAGTTGTTCTTTGCTGTTGTCTTTAAGTAATAGACTGATAAGATATGAATGTTGTTTCCAAAACTGTATTTAAGGACATCTCAATACATTTAGTTAATCCTTTTTTTAATTCTTCTCCTTCAGCAACCAGTTTGCCACAGAATGTTGTGGTGAAAACATTCTGTCAGAGGTGAAGGCTTCTGTAGAAGCATATTTATTACTAAAAATAGTAATGAATAATAATTGAAGATAACAATATAATTAATAACTGTTCTTTTACACCAGAAAATGAAACATAAGTAGATTTTGATGAAACTTCATTTTTTACCCATACACCTTCAACAAAAATAAAATATTATATGCATGCAGCACATTGAAGTAGTACTTAGTATCAATTCAATGTTGTGTTCTTGTTTCAAAAGCATTAAGAATTACAAATCTAATACTGATATCAAAATGAGAGGCGTGGAAATGTTATAAAAAATTACTTTTTACTTCCTTTACTGACTGTATATATGTAATAAAGTATAGAAGTTGTTCTAAGTATATATTTATAATTTTCATTCACAGATAATTCGAAAAGTAGATAAACAAACGGCATTATTGGATGCAGATGATCCAGTATCACAGCTCCATAAATGTGCATTTTACCTTAAAGACACTGAGAGAATGTATTTGTGCCTTTCCCAGGAGAGAATAATCCAATTTCAAGTAAGTTGTTCAAAACTATTTCAATAGATGAGCCAAGTATCCCCAAAATATGTATGAATGAAATTTTTGCACTGGGTTTTGAATGTGAGTCTAATAGTTTGAAAAGAGGGGATGGAAAGCAACAAAGTGTTATCTGTGCCTTTCAAAATCTGTTTTTCTTTCCTCATAAACTTCTTCCATGTCTGTCTGGAAAATGATTTCTGGTTTCTCCAATGGAGAAAAAGGAAACACTATAAACTTGTGCATGATACTGTGGCTTAACATATTGACATATGCCAGTGGAGCTGCACCACTTATTTGTGTGTCCCTTTCTAGGTCACAGCAAATAGGAAATTATACAGTTGATAATAGTCTTGTTTCCTGGTGAACTCAGCAGAGCTGCCATGTGTTGCTCTTGGCTAGGAGTGTAAACATAGACAGCTGTGGCAGTTGCCCACAGTAACTTGAAAGGACACAGAAATTTGATTTGTATGTAAAGAATAGAACTGTCTCAGAAATATTTTTTTCTCCAGCAGGTGGAGAAAAATATCGGATTTTAATCTCTTTTATGTTAGCATGCTTGTAGCACTTCCACATGGTAATTCCTACTGGACCAACAAGGACCCTGAGATTGGCTCAGCTGGTCAGAGCATGGTGCTGAAAACAGCAAGGCAATGGGTTCAATCCCTGAACATGCTTAGTCTTTACTTGAGTTGGACTTGATGACCCTTGTGGGTCACTTCCAACTCAGAATATTCTGTGACTCTGAAGACTTGGACCACGTTCAGTATCCAGTTCAGTACTCAAGTATTGCAATTTTTCTTTAAATATTTTGGGGTCAGCTCAAATAACAAAGAGTGTTGAGACATAATGCTGTTCTCCAGGAAGATGGCCATGCTTGGGAGAGATTCAGGACTTCCTTAGAACAGCTGTACCTTCTTGGGTAAGAAAAGTAGAGTTAGGAAATTAGAAGCTAACATTTAAGATGTCCCTTAATTTAAGGTAAGGGACAGAAAGGCTTGGTAAAGAGTCATTTCAATTCTGTCCTGAACTGGGACAAGGGAAAGAGAATATGAGATGCTTTGTTCCTATTTCAGTAAACATTCATGACCTGTGGTTCAGAAGGGAGTAGATCTATTGTTTCTACTCACAGCACACAGCAGAAATACATATCTGTCAATATATATATTCTTGTAAAGGAATAGAAAGAAAGCTGTAAAATGTGAACTACAGTGACTCAGGATCAGCCTGCCATTTAATCATTCTTAGACTGATTGTCTGATTGATGCTGAATGAAGAAAGAACTCTTGCTTCTCTGACAGCTGCTTTAGTTCAGCATCCTGGAATTGCTTGTGGGACTGTCAGGAATGACTCTTCAGTTTCAGCAGCACTCATGGAGCCCAGTCTGATAAGAACTCTGAATTTTCTGCATGGGTAGGAGTTAAATAAAAGGACATTCCTTATCCTGAATTCTCTTAGTGGAGTAGGTACTTGCTGCTTATACTTGTTGAATAAAATTTGGTAACTTGCATGCCAGACTGCTACCATGCTTTGGTAGGTGAAATCACAGTGGAAGATAAACTCTTTCTGCCAATGTCAGGAGAGAAATCCCGTTTTATCTGGGTTTTTTATTTTGGATCAGAAGACAAAGACCAGGGAAACAGCATATGTATACTGATCCTTTAGTAGGAATGTAGACAAACTGTGGTCACTCTTTGGAAAAAAAAAAAAAAAAACAAAACAAAAAAACCCCAAATAACCAAAACAACGACAAAAAACCCCCAAAATCCTGAAACTTTAGGATGACAAGTCTCTCTTAGGTGAATGGAAATAGCCCTATATAGAAACCATAGAAGCTTAAAGGAAAGAGGCTGTAAAGAGTCTGCAGGTGAGCATAAACCTTGAAATTCAGTTGAAGCACCAGCCAGATCTCTCTTTCAAGACATGCGTGTGTTCTGGAGCATGGAGAAAGGGTATAAATTGTGCCTTACTGGATGAGAGCATAGTCCATGTCTGTGTCTGGTCTGCCAGCAGCAGCAGGAGTTGGTGCTTACAGGAAGCACCTGGATCTGGTCGTGTTTCCCAGTCCAGTGTGGTTGTACTCTGCCTAGAGTACACTTGTACCAAGTGTTGTTAGAGGCTGCATTCCTGACTCTTGTCTTCTAGCGTCATTTTGTAGATGTGTTCATTGGTTTGATAATCTCAGAATGTGCAGATGTTCTTTTTCTTCAGTAATCTGTGGCAAAAAGTTCAAGAGGTTTTCTGTTCCCTGTGTAGTAAAAGTTTGCTGTATTTGTTTTGAATGGTGTAACAATTTTTGTGAATGATTCCTACTTCCAGTTGTGCAGTATTTAGTGAGCAACAGTCCTGCATTCACTTAGCCATCGACATCTTAATTTCTTCTCTCCTAATTGGAAAAGCACAGTCTTCTCCATTTCTTCTCATAAGTTCAGCACTCCTTCGTGATTTTAGTTGCCCTTTCTGTCACTTCTCTTGTTTTTTCTCCTAGACTTTTTTAGACAGGAAGACCAGAACTGCACCCAGTATTATGGAATTAGGTGAACAAGGGATTCACACTGGCAAAATAATACCAGATAGCTTGTTCTCAGCCCTGTTTTCTAATGGTGGCCAGCACTGTGTCGTCACTCACAGCTGCCACTGCACCTCAAGGTGGTGGTTTCAGACAATTGTCAGTGGCAACCATAGGATCCCAAGTTGTAACTTCTGTCTCCAGTTGAAGCAAGACAGTACATCAGTACTAAGCATGATGTTAAGGCGTTTTAATCTTCCAGTACCACCTGCTGAGAAAATTTAGGTAAAAAGGGAAAGGAAAGAAAGGGTGAGAAGTGTCCCTGGAGCCCTAATTGGAAGTGACAAGGAAGAATGCTTCTCTAAAAGAGGAATTGAAACCTTTTAAACTGTAACAGACAGAGTAACTGAAATGATTCTTGATGTAACAGGATTTTGAGAACAAATTCTGTGGTATTTGCCTTCCACATCATGGACTTAGGAAATATGAAAAAAACTCAGTCAAGGATCTTTTACAGGGTTGTTCATTTTTTCACATCCATGGTTTTATTTGTCATGGTTCAAAGTATATCATTCCATGCCAACAAGAATTGCAATAATTCTATAGGAATGGTGTCATGCTTCACAATAGTGTACAATAGTTCCTATAGAACTTCTCTTTTGAAGTTGGGCTACTTAATTCAGAAACTGTATGTTTCTGATGGAAGTTTCATTTGGGAATCTTGAGTTTGGAAAGATCTGTAGTTGTCCATGCCACACACTTCTCTTGCCAGCTGTTTTCAGTGCTTTTTACATGATCATACCAGAATTAAGAGTCCACATGAAAATGCAGCTTTGTTTTTTAACACTTCATATGGGCAAGTCATGCTAATTGAAGTTTATCTGCCACTTTGAAGAGTGAAGGTTGTGGTTACCTACCAATATATCCTTAAAGCTTAATGGAGGGAAAGAAGATCTAGTTATTAGAATTTTTTCTCCCCATTTTTTTCTGTGTTTAACCTATACACAATTTTCTTACAGGTTGCTAGGTGGTGAAATTGTTCAGAGAGGCTTCTGTTGCCATAAAAAAATATTTGTCTGTGTATTTTTTATATATCTACCTGTCTGTGTATTCTAATTTAGTAATATTTAGAGGGAGATACTAGATGACCTCGGAGGTCCCTTACAGGGCAAGCCATTCTGTGATTCCATTATTCTAATTTGTAAGGCTGTCACTTCAGCTTCTTTCTATGTCTTTGCAGAAACGCTGAAATACAAGCTTCTCTTTTCCATCATTTTGTGGAGGGTGAAGAACTCTAAAAAGAAAAAAATACCTTGAGCAGATAAAACTCATAACTGATGAAAAGTATTCCACTTCACTCTGTAGCTGTTTCAGATATTTTGCCTTAATAAGAGATGTGTTTTAAAGCAGCTACTTCCTGTTGCTGTAGTTTTTTTGTTAATGCCTATTGAATAACATTAAAACTTTGAAAGTTGAACGAAAATAAAACTCAAACATAAGGTTCGAGAGGTGACAGTGTTCTAGGTGAGAGTTATGGTGTTCTCACAAATACTAGTTTTCTAGTAATTTTTCTGAAATGTGAAGAGGGTTTCCCTAGGTAATTTTTAGAGGAAAACATAAGGAAACATGTTTTTGAAATAACAGGCATTGTTACTGGCTGAGTTGGTTTTAGGTCTGTGACTTGACAAACATCTGAACAGATCAGATTTTATACTTTTCTTTCTCTCTAAGGCCACTCCATGCCCAAAAGAACCAAATAAAGAAATGATTAATGATGGAGCTTCTTGGACAATCATTAGCACAGACAAAGCAGAATACACATTTTATGAGGGGATGGGTCCAGTCCATGCTCCAGTGACACCTGTGCCTGTTGTGGAAAGTCTTCAAGTAAGTTAGTAGTTAGTTTTAATAAACTGGTTTTTTGTGAGATTATTTTTGTCATGCTCATGTAACTCCTTGTGAAATACTGTAGGAAAACAGTCTTAGTACCAATAAGTAGCTTTATAAATAATAAAATTACTTTGCTGTAATAATTTTTCTTTCTTTCATTTCAGAATACATGAGCCTATCTATCATAGGAATAATACTAATATTGTTGTATACAATTATAATTTTATTTCTCTAACTACCATGGTAGTGATATCCTTAGGACTTCTGTTTGATTATTTAGAAATTGGTTTTGACTCTTGCCAATTATAGATCAAAGAGAACCATACTAAAAAAAACCCCACAGCATTTGTCAGAGGAAAAACTTAAAAGTTCCTCTAACACCTTCTCTGAAAGATTTTGTTCTCTGTTTTCAAAGCCTTATTGACATCCATTCTAAGAGCCATTATCAAAACTTGGAAATTGCTTCATAGTATCAAATTAATTGGCAGTATCTTTTACATGTGTTACTACTTTATACTTCAGTTGTTTAGATTTATTTGTGTTTCAGTTTTGTCCAGCTAATAAAAACAGTGCTGTTTAAAGTTCTTATCTGCATGTGAAGGTTTTGTTTGTGCGTTTTTTTGGTTGGGCTTTTTTTGTTTGTTGAGGTTTGTTGTGAGTTTTTTGGTGGGGCTTTTTTTGTTTGTTGGGGTTTTTTCTGAGGAGAGAGTGTTTATTCTTAATAATACATATTTGGGGGGGATTTTCTTGTTCTTTTTCTCTTTGCTCCGTTTCCAGTTGAATGGTGGTGGGGATGTAGCAATGTTGGAACTTACAGGACAGAACTTCACTCCAAATTTACGTGTCTGGTTTGGGGATGTGGAAGCTGAAACCATGTACAGGTACAATATTTTCTATTACTTCAATGGTGTTTCTGTTTTACTGGGTGCTTTGAAGAGTGTATACTTGTGTACACACTCAAGTGTACACTTTTCTGCACTGTAGAAAGGGGGTCTGGGATTGCTGGTTGCCAGAGGCTCAGGAGGAGTTAGCAATGCATCCTGGCAGCCTGGAGGCCAAACTGCATCCAGCTGGTCAAAAGATGTGTCTACCCCACTGCAGTCAGCACTGGTGCAGCCTCACCACGAGCTCTGCGTGCACTTCGGGGCTCCCAGTTTAAGAAGGATGTTCAGGTACCAGAACACGTCCAGAGGAGGATGGCAAAGATGGTGAAGGGCTGGAAAGGCCAAGGAGTTGCATCTGAGACTTTGGGCTTGTCTGGTTGAGAGAAAAGGAGGCTGAGAGGTGACCTCATTGCTCTCTGCAGCTTCCTGAGGAGAGGAAGTAGAGAGGGAGCTGCTGAGCTCTGCTTCCTACTATCATGTGCCAGGACACATGGGAATGGTATAAAGCTGCACCAGGGAAGATTAGACTGGGCATTAGGCAGCATTTCTTTACTGAGAAGGTAGTCAGACACTAGAACAGGCTTCCTAGAAAGGCAGTTGATGCCCCAAGCCTCTCTGTGTTTAACCAAATAAAGGGAACTGGGCCTTAATAATATGATTGTAGCTTTTGGTCAACCCTGAAGTGTTTGGTGTGTGCACTAGTCAAATATTGTAGGTCCCCTTCCAACAGAACTGTTCTATTGAATTCTTTCAACTTAAAGACACGTACTCAGTTGACTTTCCTGTTTTTCAGATGTGCAGAGAGCATGCTGTGTGTTGTTCCAGACATTTCTGCGTTTCGAGAGGGTTGGAGGTGGGTCCGACAGCCAGTCCAGGTTCCAGTAACTTTGGTCCGTAATGATGGCATAATTTACTCCACCAGCCTTACCTTTACATACACACCGGAACCAGGGCCACGGCCACACTGCAGTGCTGCTGGAGCAATCCTCAGAGCCAACTCAAGCCTCATGGCCTCCAGTGAAACAAACACAAACAGTGAGGGAAGTTACACAAGCGTCAGCACAAACCCCACCAATGTCACATCGTCTACGGCAACTGTAGTTTCCTAACTACTGTTGTTTGTCTGGACTTTAATTGACTTTTCGTGCTACATTCAAGAAAACGGAACAATTTTTGTGGTTTCATGGGAAAACACTTTTCCATTTTAGGTGATGTGATTTCAACCTTGTTACCTGCAAGTGCTGATCTTAAAAACAGAAGCCACAATAAAAAAAAGAAAAAACCAACATCCGAAACATAAGAACTTTATTGAAAATCTATTTTTCAGCTGTGGTTTTTTTAGTGGGCAAGAAACAGAAATGTGGCTGGGATACATGTTGAGCAAACTAGAAAACATGAACACAACATAGTTTTTATGGACCAAGGAACTTGTATAAGCTTTAGTATAAAAGGTACATTTTCACCATACCTTTTTTGTATCACAACATATAGTACACTTTTGTTACCAAATAGTTTATATTTTTTTTTCCTCTGAGCTTTTGCTCTGAAGTATATTCAGGTTCCAAGCCTGACCATGCTTGTATAATCTAATTACCATACTCTTCCAGTTTTAAAAAAAAATATATATTTTTGGTCTGTGGCTGGAACTGTTCCTTTTTTTAAACTGAAGTCTTGTGACTTTTTATGAACTGAAATTGTTTTTATTTCAGCAAGTAGAACCTTGTAAAGGCCAGCATATTTTTTTTAAGATTATATGAAGTCTGTGCAAAAGCTTTAAAAAATGCCTCTGCCTTGCCTGCAATACATGCAATGTATGTTAACTTTAGTGCTCTGTTTTCAGTCATTGTTAATAGTTATTTCTGTTTTTCTTTTTTAAATATGTATTTATAGTGATAATTCATGAGGTTCTAACATTACATGAGTTTTTTTTCCTAAAAGTGGCATCTCAAGCAGTCATATTAATGATTGTTCATGTCACAGGCATATGTTGGTGTTTTTGAAGGGTTGTTACTGGGTTACTCCCCCTCTTCCTTGCTCACTCATATTACATCTGAAAATGTTTCAGGATCTGTTCAGGTTTTTCTAATCTTGTACATAATTTGTATTAAGTGTAAGTTAAATGTTTTATTTCAAAAGTGGAATGTTTCCAATAACTTCATTTGGCAGCATGTCTTCTGTCTTGTTGGCATGAAACTAAAGTACCATGAGAAGTATGTGCTACAAATGGGATTGGTAGGTGATGCCCTTCATCACTTGAGAATCACAACAAGCATGTTTTTCTTCATACTGTTCAGTAAATTAGGCCAGACTTTTGTGTAACACTTGTATTGAGAACGTGCTTTCATTGTGAAGTGATCATACAGTAATAACTAGAAGTAAATTTTATTACTTAGAAATGGGCAAATAGAAAATCATAAAAGCACTATGAAGATGTCAACTCCTCCCATCCTTGTTTCCTGTGGGTTTCCCTTTCCCTGCCAACAGCTTGTGCAACATTCAAGTCTTCTCTCCAGCATAAATTCAAGGCTCATTTGCACTTTGACTTTGTTGGTTGTTGCATTTGTTTTTCATTTTGACTTTACCATGTTTTGTCCCTCCTTGTAGACCTGCCTGTTTCATTTGTATTTGAACGTATTCCCCAGTAGTTCATTTGTAGTCACAGAGCTAGGCATAGAATTGTAGGACAAGTTCTGACAGTGTGATCTTCCTCTTTAAAAGCCAAAATTTCATGGTGTGTTCAAACTTTTCTGTACCCTGAAGCAAAAGTCACAACTGCTGTGTAAATGTGAACCTGTGGTTTCCTACAGTGCATTGCTTACAAGCTTACCTGTTGACCATTTTCATAGGGTTTTTATTTCTGACCACTGATTCCAGTTTCAACACCCACCACCATTGTAAAGCATTGTCTCTGCGCCGTATTTGTGTACTCTGACGCTCCATTCTACTTGTTTGATTAGTGCTCTGTTGTATGTGTGAAAACAATGTGTTTAAAGGAAGAAATTGGTTATAAAGCATATTTAGCAAATAGTAAAATCAGTGCCACTGTCCTCCTGAAATGTGCTTGTATTCTACCACAGGCCTTCATACTCGTTACTCTGTACTGCGAACGTGTTCCCGTGACGTAGTTGCAATGCTGGTTCCTAGCACTAGTGAATGCTGCCTCACCTCATCTCCATTTCAGTGACCAAGGGCAGGATTCATTGTGGCCTTATCTCTGTTTTAAACTGTTTACTGGCATTTACTTGCAAATCTGTTTACCTTTGTATGTGCTGTAAAATTTTGGTTTACTGTGTTGTGGCAGGAGTCGTTTCACAGTGTTTTTGTTAGAAGCACATAAATATCTTACAGTACAGCTTAGTTCAAGAGCCACAGATTTTCATCACTAATTAGACTGAGAATTAAAATAAGCAAGACATATATATCAGATTTAGAGGGTATTCAAGAAACCATGATAGACACACAGCAGGCAAACCATAACAAGCCTTTTAATCTTCAAAGACTATTTAAAATAGCTTTTCAGAACTTGACACGTGCTTTTATACTCATTATTTTAAATTTTTTTACATATAAATGCAATACTTTTTATATTCAGTTTCTTTACATGCGGTAATTTTGCCCAATAGATATAATATCCCTTGACTTGTAAAGATTTATCCTAATATCTTGCTGTTCTACACACTACAGCCAAGTGGGTGAAAAAAGAGCCTATTCTGCTTACAAGATCATTTTAAACCACATTTTTTCATTTGGCTTGTGGCTCTCTTGTTGCCAGTAGTTATTCTGTAGTACAGAAATGGTCTTCCAGGTCCTTACTGTTGTTAATACGTCCAGTTGTTCAGACATATTATCTTCCTGAACTTTTTTTCTGTGGGGTGATATTGTTACATATATTGGCCTTGTGTTAACAATTTTCATGATATTAACAATATCTCAAGATTTTGATAAAACTACTTATAAAATGTTTCAGTATGAAACTCTTATAACTGTTCAAGTCTAGCTGTTAAGTCTGCTGTTAATTCTGTATACATAGAAATTGAGTCTGTGTTCAGAATGTTGTTATAGTTCCAACTATAGGAAGAAGAAGCAAAGTGAGTGCTCCAATTTAGCTATGCCTTTTCTTGTTTTCTGTTGCTTGGAACTGCGTTTCAGAATTCAACACTAGCATAGTCTTTAATAATCTGCTGCTGATGTTTTTCCTAATTATTTGCCCCAAGGGCATCCCACAACTATGTTAATAATGGTATTCTGTACTTGTTTTCATTGCGCAGACTTAAAAAATCAGAATGGTTACCTGAAAAGACATTAATTCAAGATATAATTTGATGAATTCCCCATATAGAAAATATTAATGCTTAGTGAATCAAATTATCTCTTGGAAGTAAGCTACCCACTTGTGGATTAAATGACTCCATAGAGATGTCCATCTTGCAACTAAGATGCTCTTCAATTATTAACCATATTATTTACTTTCTTTCAAAAGCAGCTGTGTTTATGAGTACTGAACAAATGTGTATACTTTCCTGTGCCAGACTTTTGACTTTGTTTTCAAGCACTGTACTGTGGGATTGAGTGGCAGCTTTGTTAGAAAAGAAGTATATTAGGGTTTCTACTTAACCCTTTTAGGACTGAACAATTTCTTCCCTTTAGAAGCTGTAAAATAAATGAGCAGTTCTAACTTCGTAAACATTCTGTCTGTGTTCAGCACTGCATTTGCCCCATCTGGAGGTGCTATGCTAATGTCATTTTTTAAAATTCTGTAGCATGTGTATACATTCAGTCTTAAAAGGGTTATTTTTACAAACTGTGCACCTGTAAAGTTTCTTAGCAATAAAGGTAGAAAAACGAGCAAGTTTTTACCATAATTTTGTAGAATTAATTGCTCAGTTCCATATTTCATCAAGAAAATCCCTGCAATATGGGCAGTTTTGAGGATTAAATAAAAGTGAAATGTAAACCACATAAAAGTGTTCTTGTCAAGTGTACTCTGTGTGTGTATGTGCATAAACTGTTGGGTTTAATTTTTTTCTACAAGGCTAAAGATAAAATGCCATGTTACTGTTGCTGCGACAAACATAATTGAACATCTGTATGATGATACAAAAGTACTTACGGTTTGAACAGGTGTTGAAACTTGCCACATTTTGTTGGTTTTTTTCAATGTTGACCAAGCAACATGGGTTCGTTTTTTGTTTCGTTTGTTTTGTTGCCTTTTTTTTCCCCCAAATGAACATTGAGGTCATCTGTGGAACCAGAACAGCACAAAAGAAGACCAACCCTGGGAGTGAAAAGTCATCAGTACTTGTGAGGCTGTGCGCACCGGACTCCACTTAAATGGGATATGGAATGTCCACCCAAAAATCTAAATCGGTTTCATTTTTGCTTGTATTATTGCTGAAGTTAGATAAGAAACTGTTTTTTAATAATGTGTAAAAAAAAGTTTCACTTTTTTATATAATTTATTAAATAAGAAAAAATGAACCGTGTTTAATTGTTTAACTTTAGCAACTTCATTTTTGCAAATAGTGCACCTGATTCCTTTAAATCTTATTCTTAGTTGCAGAATGTCTGACATTTCATTCACTTGGTTGCTAACTAGAGCTGGAAATTCAGCAAATTAACCTATTTCTTGTTATGACAGAAGAGTAGGGCTCTCAGGAGGAGCTAGAAATTATGTACTCTCAGTTTGCAAGCACAAGTGACACTGTCACTTCAAGAAAGTTTTTAAGATGGGAAGTGGACAGGGCAGAGAGAGAATATAGAATAGCAGAAGCCTGCCAGTACTAAGTAGTGTTGTATTAAACTGATTGAAGAACTACAGGTTTACCTGTAAGACTGAGAAGGGGCTAAAAGTGGTTCTTAAGTAGGAGAGCCAAGAACAACAACAAAAACAACAATAAAAAAAATCACTTGCTTTAAAGAAGGATTACAGATACTTTTATTGAGACATCTGCAAGGTGTTTGCCATTAAGGCACGTAAAATAGTCAGAAACTCAACAGTTGCAGAACTTGTGTTTTTTGAATCAGAGACATTATGGACATTATTCTCAAAATTATGGTCTCAAAATTATTTCCAAAACCCTGCAGTCTGTTTCTGAAATGATAAATTAAT